GGATAATGCACTGGACTACAAGATTGGTTTGAACTGCAAGGTCAGTGATTCAAACCCACCAGGTTCTCCTTGGGAACCCTATACAGAGTCGCTGTGAGTCAGACCCGACTTGATAACACTTAACAATAACACTAACATCAATTATATGGTATTAGATTTTATATGTTGTTGTCAAGTTCCATCGAATCAGTTCCAACTCATAGAGAGACCCTGTATAGGGCTTCAGTGGAGGTATACCTATCATGGTTCTAATATTATAGAGTCCTGATGTGCGCTGTAGGATAAGCACTGGACTATTCTAAACCCACCAGCCACTCCTTGGAAGTGACCTAGACAGGGTTACTCTGAGTCAGAATTGACTTAACAGAACTTTACAACGTCAACAATAATATTACAGGAGTCCTGGTGTGATGCTGTAGCATTGGACTGCTAACTGCCAGGTCAGTAATTCAAACCCACCAATAAATCCTTGGAAACCCTATGTATGGTCAGGATGAGTTGGAACCGACTCGACCGAATATAACAACAATATTATTGAATCCTAATGAAGTACTGTAAAATAATCATTGGACTGCTAACCACAGGGTTGATAACCACTCCTTGGAAACCTTATATAGGGTCACTGAGTCAGAACCAACTTCCCAGCACTTAACAACATCAACAACAATATTACAGAAGGGGTCCTGGTGTGGTGCTGTAGGATAAGAACTGGACTGCTAACTGTAAGGTCGGCAATTCAAACCCACCAACTGCTCCTCAAAAACCCTATACTTGATCACTATGAGTTGAAACTAACTTGATGGCACTTAACAACAACGTCAACAACATTACAGAATACACATCCATACGGAAAAAGGGGCTATTGTAAAACATTCATTATCTACTGGAAACTTAAATGAATCTGCTTCAATTGTCTTGTAATTTCAACAATCTATAATAGAGTATTGTATTTTCCAGTAATACTATCCTAGTTAAGGAAGACCAAACACAGCTAAAAAAAAAAAAAAAAAAACACTGAATAGGAAAAACAATAACTAAGATAGAATTATGAATGAACTATAATTCTTCCTCAAAAGTCTCTAAGGCTGCAAGGTAGTGAAAGCTATTCAAGACAAAACCCAGAAGGGAAGAACGTAGCATTCGTCCCAAGAGCATTTGCCAACCTGAAGAAGGAATGACCAAAGTAAGCTGTGCTTTTTGTGTCCTGGAAGAGTTAAAGTCCTGGGCCCATCTAAGACTGTGAATTGATAGAAAGCTCCCATCTTCAGTTTGAGACCTCAGGTGGCTATCCACTTAGGTAAAGGGGAACCCAAACTAAACCAAGCATCACAGGGACCGATGAAACAACTCAGGTGATCATTTTCTGAGGTTACCCTCTCCTGTGACTACAACTATAGTTCACTTATAATTCTAGCTCAGGTTGATCACATGAACCAACATCCATCAAATTTCTCAAGTCTTTCCCCATCAAAAACTAGGGAGAGTTCTAGCTTCAAGAGTCTGTGTGTGCTGACAAACAGAAATGTGAAGCTGTATGATTAAAGAACTCTACTTTTAAATTATTTAAATTCCTCAGATGAAATTATGCAGGAGAAAGTGTTAGGACTATAGAAAGACAGAGCAGGGGTGGGAAGGTCAAATTCAAATGGCAGAGACTGGCCTTGCTCTCTGCATTCCATATTGAAATTGGGGTGGATGACGGGAAGTAAGTTATCTGAAAAGGTCTGTTACTAAGCACTGGGCTTGGAGCATTCAGGATAGGAGCTCAGGAGTGCACAGTACCTTAGCCAAACAGGCTCAAGGAGAGGCGTGCATGCAGGTGCGTAACTTTAAATGTACAGGACTGTGAACCACAAGGTCGGCAGCTCAAACCAACCAGCTGCTCCTTGGAAACCCCATACAGGGTAGCTATAAATTTGAACCAATTTAACAACAATAACAGCACATTAAGGAGTAAGATACAAGATCTATTTTTTCTTTGAGCAATAGAATTGATGTTCACACAACAGGACAGTTTAGGCAGAAATCCAATTACAGAGCTAATTAACACCTTTGAGTTTTAAGCACCAAAATTTTCAGAAGGAGAGCACTGGAGGAAAGCTCAAATTACCCAGGGTGCTGACAGCTCACCTCCAAGGAGGGTCTGGTTGAGAGCCAGAGGCCCTGGGGCTCACAGGCAGTTTAGTTTAGTTATTGTTGGTTATATTGGAGCTCTGCATTCTCTAGCCTTTAGAGATGATTGTTTGCCAGTTAACACAGTTGTAGAAGGTGTTTTAATTCCCCAAGGAGTTTGGTAAATGGGTTTCTTTTGGCTCAATCCCACTTTAAAACATTGTTTATTCTGCCACTGAAAATTCCATTTGTCATAGGTCTTAAGGTGAAATTAAAATTCCATTCAGGGAATAATTACACAGAGATGGAATTGTAGCCCTTGTTAGAATGTTGTTATTTGCTTTCTGCTCGGCCTTTCTGGGCTTTTATTTTCAATGCTTCTTTGAAGGTCATTCGGAAGGAAAACAGACACAGTGAGATGGATCTAATCAAATAATCACACAACAAAATGCAAGCTGATGTGAAGTAAGGACTCCAGAGCCAGACTCCCAGAGTTCAACTCCTGGTTCTACTACCTATTAATTTCTGTGAGCTCAGGCAGTTTCCTTAATCATGCTGTGACTTTAGGAAAATGGATAGAATAGCAGTGCTTGTTTCATAGAGCTGTTGTGTGGATATAATGAGTTAATATGTGTGAATGACTTGAGTGAGGCATAAAGCCAGTTGTGGTTAAGTGTCATCTAGTCGGTTCCAACTCATACCGACCCTGTATGAAGTCTCCCAGGAGCAGTTGGTGAGTTAAACTGATGACCTTGTGGTTCAAACTGACCTCGCAGTCCAGACTACATAAAGCAATTAATTGTTACATAAATATTAGCTCTCTATGTTATATTTAATAGTAACCATAAGGAACACTCCAAAGGAGACACATGACCTGTGAGAGCGCACACGACCAATGAGCATCACTGAGAGCCAAGGTCAGGAAGACCCCCTGGAAAAGGATTATCTGAGCAGAGATTGGAAGTTTGCAAGGAGCCAGGTGGAAATGGAAAGACAGCACTCAAGGGAGAGCACACAGGAAACAGCACTTTTTAAAGTATGGAGTGATGAGGAGGAGGAGCTTGGACACGCTGAAGACAATAAAAAAAGCAGACGGGCACCACAGGATCTTAGAGAACAGAGCTTAGAGTGAGAGGCAGAGGCCTCATTCAAGGCCCAGGGCCAGGTCATGGTCAAGAAAGATAAGCCTTTTACCAAAACTTAAAGGGACCCTCAGTCGGAAATGTAAAGGTAGTCATTTTATAGCAAGGAGGGGAGTGATTAACTTTTCAGTCTAGGAGCGGAGGTCCCTAGGACCATCAAGGGAGAAGAGCAGAGAGCGGGACCCTACCCAGAGGAGCAGTGATGCCTGAAATGGAGCCAGAGATGATGATGTGGAGAGATGGAGCAGCTGGAGACTTTAGATCCAGAGAGGGAGAGCGACTGTGTGCTAAAGACCTGGGGGGTACAGGGGAAGGATTGCATGGAGGGGATTGTAACCATGGCAATGAGACGATATACAATAGAATGAATGTAAAACTAATGTTCTCCCATGTAAACTATCACATAATTCACAATAAAACATTTAAGAAAAAAAACATAACTTAACGGGACCCTCATAATATCCAAATCTTTATGGCACTATAGGATAAGCATTGGACGCTAATTTCAAGGTCAGCAGTTCAAACCTACCAGCTGCTCCTTGGAAACCCTGTACAAGGTTGGTATGAATCAAAATGGAGTCAGTAGAGCTTAACAACAGCAACGTCTGTTCAATTAGGAGTGCTGGTGGCACTGTGGGATAAGCACTGGACTGCTAACCACAAGGTTGACAGTTCAAACTCACTAGCCACTCCTTGGGAGAAAGATGAAGCTTTTTGCTCCTATAAAGATTTACAGCTTTGAAAAACCTATACACAGTCGCTATGAGTCAGAACTGACTCCATGGCACATAACAACAAGGTATGTTCAAAACTGATACTTGTAGCAAAAAGCCATGCTAACTGGCCAATGTATTAGGTGTAACCATATGAAACCGCCATTTGTGGTAGGCCATAACCATTTAGTGCAGTATCACTAATTCCTGATGATTGTCAAGGATGATGACAACCAATTGCTATTTACTCATGTATTTGAAGTAGATAGACCAAGCTTGTGAGGCAGAGTCACTCTGAGAAGAGCAGACCGATGCACATGTAAAGGTTCTAAGCAGTGTGGTGTTCAAGGGCAGATGAAGTATTCGTGGCACAAGTGGGTTGGCGTGATTCGTACAAGCAGTTGCTTGGGTGAAATTACTGTTGGTGGATTGTCACTCAGAAGCCTGGAGTGAGTCTGCCCAGTGACTGACTTCTAGAAGCAAAGCTGACTTACAACTAACTGAGGGCAGTTGTCTTGATTGAATAGGTTTTTCAACTTGCTCTTTTGGCCACGTGTTACCATGGCTACAGACTACCTTATCCTACATTTGTGAGGGTTGTTTTAGTCTCATGGCTCAACTTAAGGAAATATCTATATGGATGCAGCAGACTCATGAACCTAGAGAAGACGCTGATTACTCACCATAATTTTCTAGAATACATGTGCTGAGAAAGATAGCTCTGTGCACATTGCTCTCCATTCTGAAGGTCAGTGACCTTCCATTGTCAGTTCAAGTGCTTGCTTTATTAGATGGACCGGGTGCTCAAAATTGGTAAACATAACATCACCCCCACAAACTCAGAGAACCCCTCATCTGTTCCCTCCATGTTCTTCTTTTCCCTCTTTTTCTTTCTTCTGCAGTAATATCCAAATGGAGCACTCGTCTTATTCATGGGACCTGGCTCCTCACACACACAGCTCATTCTTTAAGCCACCCCTTTTCACTTGAAAGAATTTAATTACTTCTTTTACCCTTTTTTTGCCCCTTCTAGTACAAAGCGAGTGGACAATTCCAACACCAGACTGTCTGTTCAGATTGAAAAGGATCCAGGTATATATTTATTTTCTCCTTTTAGAATATTTATTTTGTTTTTTAAAGTATTTATACAGATGGAATTCATCAATCCAAAAGGGGAAACTGAGTGTTCTTCTGGTTTAATCATTTCTTTGTTTTAATGCATGTCTTCTTAAAGAGTATCGAATGACTCTTTTAGTTAAGAGGTATCCATAAGTCATGCTAACAGTTAATGTGCTCTGTTCAAGCTCACTAATGTGCTCAGTTTAGAACACCTCAGAAGAAAGGTCTGGTCATCTATGTCTGAAAAATCAGCCATTTAAAATCTTATGAAGTTCATCTTTGTCACATTTGGGGTGCCATGAGTCGAAATCAACTTAAGGACAACTGGTTGGTGGTTAATGAAGGCCTGGTGTGGCGCTGTGGGCTAATGCCCTGGACTGCAAGGTCAGTTTAAACCTCAAGGTCGGTGGTTCAAGGTCACCAGCCACTCCCTAGAAACCCTATACAGGGTCACTATGGGTCAGAAGCGACTCGATGGCACTTAATAACAACAAGCATCCAATACAGACTATAAACTTTGGGATTAGTCATTTAGCAGATGATCTTTTAGAAGAATATCAACATTGTCATCTTCTCAAAGGCAAACCGGTTCAGAATTTATAATACTCATACTAAACCTTTCAGAAACTTCACTCAACATTAAGCTATGAAAGGATTTACCTGCTAGAAAATTATGTTTGTCAGAGTTATTCAGAGAAATAAAATCAATAAGAAATGTAAATAAATAGATACTTAGATACATACATATATAGATATAAATAGGTACTTAGATACATATAGATAGATACTTAGATACATACATATATAGATTTTAAGCAATTTTCTCACATGTTTGTGTGTACCAATAAATCTCAAATCTGTAGGCCAGGCAATGGGCTGGAAACTCCTGAAGGATTTCCACAATGTAATTTAGACAGACTTTTTCTCCCTTGGGAAGCCTCAGTTTTTGCTCTTAAGGCCTTCAACTATTTGGATGAGGCCCACCCACATTATAAGGTTAATCTCCTTGAAATAAACTGATTGAAATGTTAATACCTTCATAGGCACATCTAGACTAGTGTTTGACTGGACAACTGGGCACCATAGCCTAGCCAAGTTGACACCTAAAGTTAACTATCCCAAATTTGTTTCCTTCTTTCTTTTCATTAGCTATCTCATTTTTTAACTCTTTCACCTCTTCTTTCCCTATGTAAAAATGCAAAATTCTACTGGTTCTCTATTTTTAACTTTCTCCCCTGTGCCAACAATTTTGTCTGGGAAGAATTGCATCATGGGCATTATCAATATTAGAATTGCAAGTATCTGATTCATTTGGAATCAAAATGTAAAAAATGGAAAGTACTTGGAAAGACAGGTCTACTTTCTATTAAATTTTGTATCAGTGCAGCTGTGAAGGATGGTGAATTTTTTTCTGATCTGCAGCTGTGGAAATACATGGCATCACGGGACCATTGATACTAGGCAGATGGAGAGTTCCACAAACTCACCTGGCCTTTGTTGTTGTTGTTAAGTGCCATCGAGTCGGTTCCGACCCATAGCGACCCTGTACAGGGTTTCCGAGGGTGTAAATCTTTACAGGAGTAGAAAGCCTCATCTTTCTCCCACGGAGCGGCTGGTAGTTTCGAACCACTGACCTTAAGATTCGCAGCCCGATTCGTAACCACTACGCTACCAGAGCTCCTTCTGGACTTAATTGTCTGGCTAAATTCATGGTCAGTGTGTTCTAAGAAAAGTACATGAGCCAAATCTCTACTCCTATGTTTTTTTGTGTGTTTTTGTGTCCTTCAAACATCCAGCAATTCGAACAATTAAGCAAAGGTTAATTCCCTTATTCAGGCCTTTTCAAACTCAAAGTAATCTCTAATTAGTGTCTCAGTTGCATGCTGATTCACAGAGAAAATGAATGGAACGGTCAGGTCGGTCAGACTTAACACGCATAGAAGATGAAGCAGGCTGATACTTCATTAGACTGCATTCCATGACTCAGCCCATAGGACAGTTTATTTCTTCCCATTAATCATAATTAAGTTACAATTGCACTAATTTCAAATAAACTTATAACTGTAAATGAGTGCTCAGTAGTGAGAGTCATAATTTGACAGTATTATATTTTAAAGTTCTTAGATCTCTCCCTACTTTAGGGCTCTTCACCTTTCTGTACCAATTCTTCATATTCAGGTTCCCAAGGGTGCAAAACTGTGGAGCTGCCATCAACGTTTCAACCTTTCTTCTTGCCTCCGTTCACATCTGTCTCAGCCTGGAAGGAAGCCTGAAGTTTTGCTTTAGGAGTGTTTGCTCTTAGTCAGAATTAACACTGGGAAGAAAAGATACTCCCCAAATAAAAGAAGTGGATGCAAACTTACCCCACAAACCATTCCCAACTCATCCCTACCCCTAACCCATCTCCATCCACAAGGAAAACAGACAAGGAGAATGTCCCAGATTCCTGAGCCTGCTCTTCCACAAGCTTGGACCCCTCATCTTGAGCTGTTGGATTCAGGGAGTGGAAGAAAGCCAGACCCAGCAGGGGATGAAAGGAAATGCCTTTTCCTGCCCAAATTCTATCTCCAAGCACACACCCCTGACCTCCCATTGTGAAGCAGACTGTTCCATGCTTTTACTACATCCTTGTCTTCTCCTTCTTTCAGAGTCTTCATTCACTCTGTACTCACAAAGAAGATGGAATGTGTGTGTGAGTGTGTGTGTGTGTGTGTGTGTGTGTGTGTGAGGGGAGGACTTGGCCCTTAAAAATCCGTGTCCCTTTGTTATACTCTGACCGGTGAGATCCTAGATTTATTTCAGGAGTCAGTCGTAGTTCATGGAAGAGTTAGATGCTGTTGGTTTGTTAAGTGTCATTGTCCAGTTGGTTCCTACACATAGTGACCTACGCATAGGGTTTCTGAGGAACAGCTGGTGTGATTGAACTGCCGACCTTGTTATTTGAAGTCCAGTGCTGATCCTACAGCATCACACCAGAAGTCCATATGAAGTGTTTAGTTTATTTCTTGGTAGTTTCGAGCATTCATGTTATTCTGAAATAATGAAACCAAACTATGATAAGTTCATTATTGCTAAAAGTGTTACTCAGATACTGCCAGAATCTGTGAGGAACACAGTCCCTTGACTAATTCCAGTAGCGTTAGTGAGGGTTGTGGTGGAGACACTAGAGGGCACAGGGAGACACTAGAGGGCACAGGGAGACACAAGCTCTGATTCTTCAGAGAAAAATGGTCAGAAAAGACTAAAAACAGACAAACAAAACCCATGATACTGATCTTGGTATTTTGCAATGAAAGTGGGCATTTCTCCAGGACGTCTGGAAAAGCCCACTGCTAATACTGGAGGTGTTGTAGAAGCAGCACTGGACTGCTACCCACAAGGTTGGCAATTCAAACCTGCCAGCTGCTCTGTGGGAGAAACATGAGGTTCTCTGTTCCACTAAAATTTTACAGCCTTAGAAAACCAATACAAGATCACTCACTATGAGTCAGAACCGAGTCCACGGCACATAACCACCCCTCCCCAAAATTATAGATAACATGATTATCTAAGTAAAATGCGACAGTGAATATACAGAAAAACTAGTAGAACTCATAAGTGAGCATATAGGGCCAAGGATACAACAATAACTATATTTCTATTAACCAGCACTTGGAATTTTTTTAGGATATATTATTTATAATATTACCATACAACATGAAAGGAATTTTCTTAAAGCTCTGTATGCAGAAAACTATAAAACACTGATAAAAGAAATCAAAGAAGACCAAAATAAATAGCTAAAAAGTGTTTAGGGATTGGGAGACTCATTATTACTAAGATATTAATTCTCTCCAAATTCATCTATATATTTAACACAAACCAAATCAAAATCACTGCAGGATTTTTTTTTCCTTTTGGAAGAAATTGACAAGCTGATTCAAATTTTTCTATGGCAGTTAGAGATACTAGAATAGTTACAATTTTTGTTTAAAATAGTTCTAGTGTTGGAGGACTCCTACTGTCAGATTTCAAATCTTAACATGCAGCTGCAATAAGCAAGAGAGTGTGGTATTGGTGATAGTATAGATAGATCCGTGGGATAGTCTAGAGGATTCAGAAATCGAATTCTATTTCTATTCATTCATACACATGGTCAACTTTGACAGAGATGCCAGAGCAATGGAGAAAGAACAATTGGGCACCCATATTGAAAATAATGGATATATTTGAATTATGATGTTGGCTAAGAATTTTGAATATACCCTGGACTGCCCAAAGAACAGATCTGTCTTGAAAGAAGTACAACCAGAAGGTTCCTTTCGAAGCACGTACTTTGAACAAGTTCGAAGGGAGCGCTACTTGAGAAGAGCATCATGCTTAGTAAAGTAGAAGGTTAGCCACAAATAGGGAGACCGTCAAGAAGATGGATTGACCCAGTGGCAGCAACCATAGCCTCAAACAGAACAACAGTTGTGAAGATGGCACCAGACTCGGCAGTGTTTCCTTATGTTACACACAGGGTTGCTATGAGTCGGAACTGATTCCATAGCACTTAACAACAATCTACGAAAACATCAACCCCTATTTCACAGTATATATAAAAGTAGCTCAGAATGAATTATAGACTTAAATAGAACACCTAAAGCTATAAAACTTCTAGAAGGCATAGAAGAAAATCTTTATGGTCTCAAGAGAGACAAAAATGTCTCACTTGCGGCACCAAAAGAAACACGATCCATAAATAAGAAAATGGATAAATTGGACTTTATCAAGATTAAAATCTCTGCCCTGGTGTCACAGTGGGTTAAGCATTAGCTGCTAACTGAAAGATTGGGGGATTAACCCAGCAGCCACTCTGCACAAGAAAGATGAGCCAGTTTGCTTCCGTAAAGATTTGTAGCCTCAGAAGTCTTATGGAGCTTTGCTACGCAGTTCTATAGGGTCACTGTGAGTTGGAATCAACTCAGTGACAGTGGGTATAGTTTTGGTTGGGTCCAGCAAGCTGGGTTACATGAAGAAGAACGTGGCATAAGGATTGGAGGAAGACTCATTAACAACCTATGATATGCCAATGATGCAATCTTGCTTATTGGAAATGAAAAGGAATTAAAATACTTATGAAGATCGAAGACCACAGACTTCAGTGTGGCTAGCACCTCAATGTAAAGAATACAAAAATTCTCACAACTGGACTAATAGTACCATGTAAAAAAGAGAAACAGCTAAAATAAAATTGTCAAGGACTTCATTTTGCTTGGATCTGCAATCAACACTCAAGGAAGCAGCGATCAAGAAATCAAAAAATGTATTGCGTTAGGCAAGTCTGTTGCACAAGACCTCTTTAAAGTCTTCAAGAGCAAAGATGTCAGTTTGAGGACTAAGGTGCATCTAACCTAAGCCATGGGTAATTTCAGTAACCTCATATGCATGTGAAAGTTGGACAAAGAGTAATGAAGACTATAGAAGTACTGATGTATTTGTGTATGGTGTTAGAGGAGGATATTGAAAGTACCATGGACTGCCAGAAGCACAAACAAATCTGTGTTGGAAAAAGTACAATCAGAATGCTACTTAGAAACCAGGATGGTGAGCCTTTGTCTCTCATATTTTGGACGTGTCATCAAGAAGGACCAGTCCCTGGGGAAGTTCATCATGCTTGATAAAGTAGAGGGTCAGTGAAATAGAGGATGACCCCAAGAAGATGGATTTGCACAGTGGCAGCAGCTATAGGCTCAAGCATAACAACAACTGTGCAGATAGCATAGGACCAGGCAGTGTTTCCTTCGGTTGTACATAGGATTGTTATGAGTGGGAACTGATTTGGGCTGCGAACAGCAAGGTCAGCAGTTCGAAACTACCAGTTGTTCTGTGGGAGAAAGATGAAGCTTTCTGCTCCCTTAAAGATATATAGCCTTGGAAACCTTGTACAGGGTTGCTATGAGTCAGACCGACTCCACAGCACATAAAAACAACAACAACAACAATCTAACAATGTATTGCATTAGGCAAAGCAGCTGCACAAGACCTTTTTAAAGTGTTGAAGAGCAAAGATGTCAGCTTGAGGAGTAAGGTGCACCTGACCCAAGCCATGGTGTTTTCAATGACCTCATACGCATGCGAAAGCTGGACAGTGGATAAGGAAGACTAGAAGAATTGATGCTTTTGAGTTATGATGTTGGAGGAGAATATTGAAAGTGCCATGGGCTGCCAAAAGAACCAATAGATCCATTTTGGAAGAAGTGCAGCCAGAGTGCTCCTTGGAGGCCAAGATGACCAACCTTCGTCTCTTATACTTCGGACATATTGTCAGGAGGGACCAGTCACTGGAGGATATTATGTTTGGTAAAGTGGAGGGTCAGAGAAAAAGAGGAAGACCCCCAATGAGATGGATTGGCCAAGTGGCAGCATCAATGAACTCAAGCGTGGCAACAGTAGTGAGGTTGGACCAGGGCTGGGCAGTTTTCGTTCTGCTGTGCATAAGGTTGCTATGAGTCGGTATCGACTCAATGACACCTAACAACAACAACAAACAACAAATCTTTATTGAGTAGGTTCAAACCACTGACCTTTTGGTTGGCAACTGAGCACTTGGACCACTATGCCACCAGGATTATTGTAAGAGAATATAAAACCAGAATCAAATCACTACCTTGGAGATGATTAAGACTCACCGTGATCCCATAGCCTAGAGTAAAATGACTTCATAAGGTTTCCGAGACTGTCAGTGTGTACGGGAGACTCATTCCTCTCCCATGGTAAGAGAGTAAAGGGTTAAAATAGAGGCTCTCATGAGCTCTGGTGTGACACTGCAGGCTAAGGTACTGGACTGCAAGGTTGGTTTGAACCACAAGGTCAGTGGTTCAAGTTCCCCTGCTGCTTTTCGGAAACCCTGCACAGGGTCACTATGAGTCAAAACAGACTCCAGAGCGTTTAACAACAGCATATAATCAACTAAAATAAGAGGAAAGCAAGTCTCATTCTACTTATGAATCTGAAAAGTCTGATGTTATCCTTGCTGTTGTTATAAAGCGCAGTTAAGTCACTTTGACTCATTGTGATCCTGTACAGAGTTTCCAAGGAGCAACTGGTGAGCTTGAGCCACTGACTTTGTGGTTCAAACCGACCTTGCAGTCCAGTGTTTTATCCTACAGCACCACCTAGTTCTGAAGATACTGGAAAATAAGTTTTCCCTGACCATCTTTCCTTTTCTGCTTTCAGGGAGTGATGACAACAACCTGAACTCCATCTTTTATGAGCACTTGACAAGAGCCCTCCAGGAATCCCTCTGTGGGGACTTAGTTCTTGGTCGTTGGGGTAACTACAGCTCTGGTGATTGCTTTATTTTGGCTTCCGATTACCTCAATGCCTTTGTTCACCTGATTGAAATCGGAAATGGCCTTGTCACCTTTCAGCTTCGAGGATTAGAATTCCGAGGTAAGAATCTCTTCCTTGTGAAAGTTGCTAGGACTCACTCGAGTTAATACCGTGTCAAGTTTTAATATGAAGTCTCCATAAAGAGGGAGAACGCCATGCCTACCCTGTTGAATGAGAATCAGGAGCTTCTGTTTAACCTTGTGCTCTGATGCAGGCAAGTAGAGTCATCAGAGGCAATTGTTAAGTGAATCATATAATCCAACGTAAAGCCTGTGGGTTAACAAATCAGAAACTTGGGTTCAATTTTGTAGGAACAATTTAGAAGCAGTAAGACCACGGAGCAAATATGGGATTCATTTGAAGTTTTTCATTGTCATTGCTAAGTGCCAGTGAGTAGGTTCTGACTCATTGCAACCCTGAATAAGGTTTCCAAGGAGCAGTTGGTGGATTTGAACCACCAA